AGTATGATTGGTTTCAAGCAGCCATGCGGATTGTGAGAATCAAACCCAGGTCCTCTAGAAGAGCGGCAGTGATCTTAACCACTGAGTCATCTCTCTGATTCCCAATATGTAAAATGATTCTATAGCAGAGATTAGGAAAAACCAGGAGAAGATCTCTAAGACCTTTATTCAGGAATGGATATGCAGAGACTGTATGCTGTATCCCAGTACTTTGTAAAAGAAGGAAATAAATATCTGGGTTGATTTGGTCCCTTTCATCCCAAAGGTTCACCTTTGTAACCTCCTAGCATTTTGTCCCCTAAGACAATGAGTCTATTCTTTGCTCATTTGAAGTGTACAAATTATGGAAAATGTGGAGGAAAAATGCAAATATGGATTGTAAAGAAGCTTCGTAAGTAATTTCACCTGGCTCTTAACCTAGTTGAAGCCTCATCTAAAAAGCCTGACTCCCTTACAAGACCTGAATGTAAATTCAGCACTGTAATAGTGAGTGTTCTGTTATTGGGTATAAATAGATTTAGGATTATTATTTCCTCATACTAAATCCATCTCTTCACTAATACCTAGGGATCTTCCAAGTTTTATTGTGTGTATTCATGTTCATGTCTGTAGGTCTGTATGTACTTGTGTAAATGTGTGAGCTTAGGCTAAATCAACCTTGAGTGGTGCTGTTTTTCAGAAACCATCTAATGCTTTTTTTGTTGTTGTTTCACAGGCTCTCCCACTGGCCTAAAATTTGCTGAGTAGGCTAGCTGACCCCTAGTGATGCTTCCCAGAACTGGAATTAGGGATTACAAACAACACATGATCATGCCCAGCTTTCTTATAGGTTCTGGAGACTGAACCCAGGTCCTCATTTTCAGAAGTCAATCATGTTACTGACTGACTGTTTCTGAGCCATTCTTTATCTCTTTTCACTATCTTTAAAGTTTATTTTACCTCATGTAAGTTGAGTATTTCTGCTTTCTTATGGATTCAATTTACATGAAATATTTCATTATATTCCTTCAATTTCAGCCTATATGTGTCTTAGGAGATAAAGTACTTTTGAAAGCTACCTGTAACTGAATTTTTTCAATCTATTCAGTATCTAAATGTAACTAAATTAGAGAATTTATCCACTCATATTCCAATTGTTGATAATTAAGATCTTACTATATTTGGTGCTTGCCTTACTTTTTACTTTTATTTTATTTTATTTTATTTTGCTTCAGTTTCTCTTTTTGTTTAAATGGTTTACTCTCATTATAGTTTGTAATATTTTGTTTCAGATTCTGGATGTCTGTCAGAGATTTCACTTTGCAGTTACTTGAAATAAAATTTTTGATTATAATAAGTTGCTTTGAAATAATAGAAACTTGATGTGGTTTCAAAATAAGAAGTGCCTAACAGAAACCACAAGAAAAGGAAAATGCATGTCAAAGCAGCATGATTTTTTTTGTTTTGTTTTGTTTTTTTGCTCTGTGCATACTCGCTGTAGATAAATCAGCCTCACTGGCCTTTTGACACACCTGTAGATACTGGTGCTTCTGAAATGGGTCAAAGCCTGAGTGCACAACGTGCCAGCCTAGCAAAACACCAAGCCCCCCCACCAGCTCTGGAACCCCTACTGATGATGCGGATTATAGCCAGTGACTGACTGTGCAACCATCCACTAAGGTGATGCTAACTGGAATGGAAATCACAGAGATTGAAGCGATCTATCTTCCTCGGTCACCGGAGCTATTCTACAGACTGAACCCACAGGCAAGCCTGGAGAAGGAAGCCCTTGGGATGTAGCAAGAATTAGGTTTCACCATTCTAGCATTGAGGTCTAGGACAAAGTTTTATGTTTATTATCCTGTCCCACCCCCTAAAGATATAGCCCCTGCCTCGGACTATTAAGTGCAACAACTGAACTGACACTGAAAGCCAAGACAGGGATTTAATGTTCTACTTCCCAAAGGGAAAGTTTGATGTCTTTTTTGAAGCCCAAGGCCGGAGGAGGGATGTTGGATGCAATCACTCTTCTGGTAAGGGAAGCTCAGTGATTCATAGGAACAGGGGATTCTGGCATTGCTCAGTACTTGGGTGAACTCTTTGGTCTGGTATTGGGTTTGAAGTAGAAGGTCTGTATTTCTTTCCTTTTATCCACAAAAGAAGGCATCTTTTTCCATATTTGGCTACTAAGAGTTGGAAGATGTGTAAAGCCACAACTTCCTTCTTACCTTTCTATAGTTTTACAGACTGTCACCTGCCCTCCTTAGTTTCTGTGAAGGTAGTCTGGAGTTACCTAGCTGAGATATTGTTGAGAGACCTATAGTGTTCAAATGTCAGGACCACCTGATTTCATTACAAGATCATGCTTCATCCACAGAAAGGGAATAAAAATTTTAAGTGAAATTACTTGGTCAAGTTTTGAATATTCTCAATTTAGACTTTTGTGTTTCATCTTATAGTTTCTCAACTCAGCAATGGAACAGAAGTGACTTGCATCCAGTAGAAATCTTAATTTAAGTTTGAATTTTGACTGTTTCTCAGGGTAGGATATGTGGTAGGCTAGTGTCTAATGATCCCTGGTGTTGGCCTCACACTAGACTTCCAATCATAAGAATAAACAGCCATTAAGATATGATGTCCTGTAAGTCAACTATATGAAATGTATTTTTAATGTATGGTTTCTGGAGATGTAGTCCCATTTTTAATCAGAATGTGCAGTAACATTTACATGCTGTTAGTCGAGATCAAGCTCTTCTATTTGCAAAGGAACAGTTTTAGCACTGGTTAAGGATAACTGTACCCATCAGCATCTTTTATCACACAATTAGTATAGAATTTATCAAAACACCAATTTGGTAGAAGTATTGTATCCCATTCTTGGAATCTATTGCATTGGGTAGTCTAATGTTCATTTTCCCAATATTTTACCCACATCATTTCATTTTTGATGAATTGGTAGTTTATGTTGCTTTCCTATTGTTTCTTTTAAATATTCTGTAGGATTTTAAAAGATGGATTAAAACACCTAACATAATTATACCACATAGTACCAGCATAAAGACAGATGGGCTGATCAATGGAATCAGATTGAAAACTCAAGACATAAATCTACACACTGATGAAATGTGATTTCTGGTAAAGAAACCAGAAATTCACACTAGGAAAAAAAAAAAAACAGAAAACATCTTCAACAAATAGTGCTGATCTAATGGGATATCAGCATGTAGAAGAATAAAAATAGATACATATTCATCACCTTGCACAAAACTCAAGACCAGTAGATAGACTAGGACCTCAACATGAAACCAGACCCACTGAACCTGATAGAAGAGAAAATGGGGAATAGCCTTGAATGCATTGGCTTCTTTCTGAACTTCCTAAACAGATCACCAATAGTACAGCCACTGACAATTAATAAATGTGACCTCATGAAACTGAAAACTTCAATAAGGCAAGGAACCCTGTCAATAGGACAAAATAGCAGCCCACATAATTGGAAAAGATCTTTACCAACTCCACATCTAACAGAGGGCTAATATCCAAAATATATAATGACTCAAGAAAATAGACATCATAAACCAAATAATCCACTTTTGAAATGGGGTACAGATCTAAACAGAATTCTCAAAGGAGGAATTGCTAAGAAACACTTGAGTTCAGCAACCTTTGCCATAAGGGAAATGCAAGTCAAACCTACTTTGAGATTCCATAACATAGGTGACAGCCATGCTGGAGAGGATGTGGAACAAGGAGAACACTCCTCCATTGCTGGTGGGAGTGTAAACTTACACAACCACTTTGGAAATCAATATGGCAGTTCCTTGGGAAACTGGAACTCAATCTATCTCAAGACCCAGCTATACCTAAAGAATTCTCAATGTACCACAAGTACATTTGCTCAGTTCTGCTCATTTCAGCTTTACTTATAGTAGCCAGAAACGTGCAATAACATAGATGTTCCTCAATTGAAGAATGGATAAAGAAAATGTGGTACATCTACACAATGAGTATTATGCATTATTTTTTAAAAAATAACATCATGAAATTTGCAGGCATATAAATTGAACTAGAAAAAAATCATCCTGAGTGAGGTAACCCAGACCTAGAAAGACAAATATATGTACTCACTTATAAGTGGGTATTACCTATTAACAAAATGATAATCAAGCTACAATCCACAGACCCAGAGAGGTTAGGTAAAGAGGAGGGCTCTAGGTAGAACTTATGAATCTCCCTGGAAGGGGAAATAGAATAGAATTTGTGGGTGGACTGGGAGTGGTTAGGAATGAGAATCGGTGGTGGGAGGCAGAACTGGGAGAGGATAGAAGGAAAGAGAGTGCAGAGAGAGATAGCTGGAATTTGGGAATGGGCAGTGTTGAACCCTAGTGGAGCAGAAACTACCTGGAACCTGTAAAAGTGACTCTAGTGAGAACTCCAAGTAATGAAGAGAGAGTATGGACTGGCCATCTTTTATAGCCAGGCAAAGCTTCCAGTAGTTGGCAGGGGTTGCCTTCAGTCAAGTTGTAGACTGAGTGGGTCCCATGGAGATCCACAAACAAGCCAGGCTGATGCTAGACAGAGGGTCACTCACCAAAAGCTGACAAAGGGGCACGTTGCTGAGGATAACATCCACTCAGCTCACTGAATGTAGAGGGGTCAAGCTGGGGCCTGCATGGAGTCTTCACATCTAGGTTTTAGTCTCTTTGGGGAAGCAGGTACTTACTATCCAAGCTACAGAAAGAACATCCTGGGCACAGACCCAGTCACAAAACATTCTACCTATAATCTGTCCTGCCTGCAAGAATGGTTGGGGTAATGGTGGCATAGAACTCATGGGAGTGGCCAACCAAAGTGTGGTTTAGCTTGAAATCCACACAAAAAGAGGAAGCCCATACCCTACACTCCCTGGGTGGCCAGAAACGGGATAACCCAGAGACATAGGGTAGAATCAAACATTATGAGTCTAAAACAAGTCAAGAAATGATTCCCAATGGCATTCTGCTATATTTGGAGATCAGTACCTTGTCCTGTTATCATCAGAGAGGCTTTTCTCCAGCAACAAACGCGAGAGGGTACAGAGACCCACAGCCAGGCATTATGCAGAGAGAGAATCTAAATTGGAGGTCTTCCTCGGGTCCCGTTCCTTGGAGAACAGGGAAACCTGCAGAAGAAGGGGAAAAAAGATAGGAGTCAGAGGTGATGGGGATTACCAAGAGAACAAAGGCCACTGGGTCAACTAAGCAGGGCTCTTCTGGCCCCACAGAGACCGAAGTGACAAAATAGGGCCTGCATGTATCTGCACCAGATCCTCTGCATATTATGGCCCTCAGCTTAGTGTTTTTATGAAACTCCTAAGAGGGGAAGCAGGTGTTTCTCTTACTCTCTTGCCTGCTCTCGGTATTCTTTTCCTCCCAGTGGGTTACCTTCTTCAGCCTTGAAATGTCGGCTTTTGCCTTGTCTTGTTTTAGCTTCTTTTGCTGGGTTTGGTTGCCATCTCTTGGAGGCCTGCTCCTTTTTGAACTGAAATCGAGGAGGCGTGTACTTGGGTGAGAGGGGGGATGTGGGAAAGACGGGAGGAGTGGAGGGAGGAGAAGCTGTGGTTGGGATTATTGTATAAGAGAAGAATGTCTTTTCAATTTAACAAAAGAGTATTCTACCCAGCCTTATCAATGTTTCTGAAGTTTTTCATAATTGAGAGGAGAGCTTCAAGAACAAAACTCAGATACTACTTAACTACCTAGAATCTCTACTTTTATTGTAGATTTCTTTCTTCTCTGAACTCTTTTGATAAAATAACATTCATCTCATCTAAATGGGCTTTTCTCTGACTCTGATACATCTGCATTGAATTTTCTTAAAGAGTCACAAGTGATAAGAAAGAAAACTTAAGGTGTAACTAGCCTTTACTGAACATTTCTAAAAATATTATCTTTATCTTTTTCAATTAACCAAGTATAAATAGACTCCCACTTAGGAAAAAAAATCATCATTTGTTGTATTAACTACATTTAATTTTTGAACTGCAGCGGAATCTCCCTTACTTCACATCAATACGAAGAATGCCTGAACATTTTGAAAGGTATAATTCCCTTTAGACGAATACACACACATAAAGCAATTAAAATTTCAACATCAGTCCTGTGGTTCTTTCACAAAAGGCTTTCATTACTGTTTATACCCTACTATTTATCTCAGAATAAATAAAGTTCCCGCAATTAGCATTGTAGCCTCTAATGGTGTTATCTGTCCAGGAAATGAGCATTTATTCTTAGAGACAGAAGACTTTAGTACTATAGAAAGCACTTGTTTTCCAATAGGCCATTTGTACTTTGAAGCAAAAAAAAAAAAAAAAAAAATCCCAAGTCCCACATAGCGCTCTACTGATTTACTGCATGTATACCATGCATGACTGGAAGAAGGCTCTTCTTTCCCTCTTCTGCATAAAGTATTTTGCCTTTATGTGCATGTCCTGGCTAAAATCTTGTCACTTTCTAATCAGTTTGTCACATCAATCTCATGTCCAAATGATATACTTGAACAGTAAGCTATAGCAAGGAAAATGTATTTTTTATTGTTAGGTGGTTTTTCACAGGAGGCAGGATCTGCCTCCGGCAGGCTGAGTGTGGATAATGGATTCATCAGCACAAGTATACACCAAAGGACAAGAGTCAGCACCAAATCACTTGACCTCTTCATCCTGTTTGATTAAAGCAGCTTTTCAACAAATGTGTTACATAAATAACCCTTTCACCAGAATGAGTTCCTCCCAGATTCGCAAGTTTAGATATTTGTCTTAGAAGAGTCATGAAAGGATGCTCTTGAAGGAATGTCAAATTTTGATCATCAGATTTGTTGGCAGACTTTGGTGGAAAGTTGAGAGTTTCAGCAAAATATGTTTCAATTTAAACTAAGGAATAGCAGAGGGCAAACACTAAACTAAGAATCTGACAACACAGAGAGGAACAGAATATTTGCTGGCACCAAATATGGGGCTTTGGGGATCTTTCAAATGCCTAGCAGTCTAAGACAGACAACATTCAGATTTAAGATTACCCCAGAGAAGGCGGGGAACCAAAACTGCAGATGGAGCTGAGTTGGGGGAGTGCTTGACTAGTGCGCCCCATGGTCCATGCTCAATGCCTGAAATCACAAGCACTAAGCAATTTAAAATAAAAAACAGCAGTGATTTCTTCAAAACCTTCTCATAAACTATGACACATGCTCTACAAATGAATGCCAACTCAAGAATGATTTTAAAAAATGTATAAATTTCATTTTTCTTACTCAGTACTTTTTGCCCACACTGTTAGCTATGCAGCATGTTGTCCCAGACAGAACCTCCTGAAAAAGAAAAGTGGAACCTTACCAGTTAGCCTATATATTTAAAATTAATAGAAAAATGAATTATTCATCTATATTTATAGTCTACGTATAAGTATCTGGTCTTTGCCATCACAGTTGTTTGTCTTACATGAATTAATAATTCATAAGGAACTAGTTGCTTTCAAATACAGAAAATCCTTTGCTCCTTTTTCCTTGACACCATTTTTTTTAATATTACAATTCTGGTGTAGCCTACATCATTTCTAAGAACTTGAGGCTAGAGAACCTGAAAATGCTTCATCTTTAACACCATTAGGCCTCAATGCTATTAAGGAATGAAAAGATGATAACAATTTTCTTTGGTGCAGAGTCCTCCAGACCAAAAGTGCTTCTTAGATGCAAGATTTCTAAAAACATACACAGATGCTTTAGATGATTTCCTTAAAACTGAAAGTAAATGTTTTGTTGCTCTTTGTAGTGCCTTATAATTAAGAGCTTTGCACCCTAAGATAGCTCATCACCATTAACGCTGTATCAAAATTATTTAAAAATAATAAAATGCTTGTAAAATTCTGCATTTGGTTAATTGCACCTGCTTCTTCACCTACTTTCTTTATTGTACGTGTGCAATAAAAGACCTATCCTTTAAATGTACCTAGATTTATTTAATCTTGTATGTGCTGTTTTCACCAATTATGAACATTATGAACAAAGGTAGATGACAATGGGTACTCTGATAGAATTTCTGTAAATCAAACATAATATAGAAATTAAACGTTGTTGTCTGAGGTTTTCTGCCCTTCCCAGGTCCCGCAGTTGTTAAGTCCCAAAGAAATCACACAGAGGTCTACATTAGTTATAAACTGATTGGCCCATTAGCTCAGGCTTCTTATTAACATATATTAGCCCATTATTCTTATCTATGTTAGCCACAGTGGGGTAGTCACATCTTGCTTCTTCTGTGGTGGGCTCACAACTGCTGAGGAATGGGCTTTCTTCTTCCCAGAATTCTCCTGTTCTCTTTGACCTGCCTCTACTCCTGTCTGATTGTCCCGCCTATACTTCCTGCCTGGTTACTGAACCAATCAACCTTTATTTAAAATATAATTGACAGAATACAATTGTCCCACATCAAAATGTGATCATTATTAAACCTCAGATTAGGTCCTTTCATTTTTCTTCTAGCCATTTCTACCTTTGCCAGGTTGAAATGCTAATCTGTTTTCAACTGTTGCAAAACAGTACATTCTTTATTTAAAATTCTGTCTTGTTTTGTTTGAGACAGGGTCTTATTAGTTCCTGATGGCCTAGAATTCAGGTTGGCCTTAAATTCCTTCTTGATTTTTCCTGCCTCTACCTTCCAAGTACTGTGCCTATAGGTGTGTGATATGACAAGATGCTTTGAAATAGTTTAAAATATAGATATTGCTCTATGTTGAAGGAACTTCATAAAGTAGTCTACACTTTCCACCACAACATGTATTCACCAGTTATTGATAATACTCTCATCGGATTATGCAATATGTCTTCTCTGAATATTTATAACAGAATTTTTGTGTAATGTCTCTTCCAAAAATGATTCATTCCAAAAAAATAAAACACTGAAAAGGACTTTAGCTTATTGATACTATGATATGTAGTATTAATAGCAGTTCAACTTATGCAAATATCTAGAGTCAAAATCATGTCCATCTTTTTGCAAATATCTGTAAATTCTGCTGTGTGCCTTGGGTACTAACTTCATCTTCAAGTCTTTACATTTGGAAGCCTCACATCTCATCTATTGAGCATCAATCTGTGCACTAATGATGTCATGAAGGGCAAAGCTCATCTGTGATATACTACAAGGACACAACCAGGGTATTATGTCATATGGCAGATAAATTGATATGCTGGGGATTGAGGCTTTGAAATCATAGCCATCAGTAACAAACTGTGTTTACTCTGGTTGCTAATGTTGGCACATCCCTCAACGAAATGGTCTCTTCACTAATATTCATGAGTCAAAAGAGGATATTTTACTAAATATCTAAATTCCATACCGCAAAATAACTACAGCTCATTTTTAAGCATATGGAATGTGTGAATAAGAGACAGAAGAACAACAGAGAAACACACAGAGAATGAGAATTTGAAGTACAAATTCCGTTCAGTGCTTCCATGGGATTAAAGTACCAAAGTGATCCAATAGTGACTTGAAAAGGAAAGATTTATAAAAAGTACAGAACTGTTTTATATAAAGCTTAATAGAGAGGTACATAATGAATGCTTTAAACAGTTTTCATCTAGCATTTTAGTAACTGATATTCTATTATCCAATTATATAGTCAAAGACTAAATAAATAAAAAGCTTTCCCCTGAAAGAGTAAAATACAGCTTCTAACCTGCAGCACCTCATGATACAGGTGAATTTATGGGATTAGAAGCATGAAATTACATAAAAACCCATTTTAATCCTAAATCAACATTTTAACTTTTAATTCCAGGCTTGCTGTTTGCTGTGTATATGTTAGTAAAGTAAAAATATTAATTGGGGCAAAGAATTCTGTTAGGCTATTAGTTTAGCTTAATAAGGTTTTATATTCATAATTACTAATTATCCATGCAAAGGGCTAATTTCTGGGAAAACAGGGTCAGCAGCCTCAAATATTTATTCATCCCCACAAGTATGTACTGAAGATATCAGGAAACCTGAGGAAAAGAAAAGTTAAGGTCAGTCCTGCCACTAGTCTCAAAGCAAAATGGAAACAGAAAATTAATGCTAGTTAAGCCAACAATCTTTCTGGAATAACAATTTTTTTTCCTGTTTCCTCAGGACAACCCACAACTTATTCATAG